AGATCATTTGCAGATGACTTAGTATTGATGTTACAGGAGCCAGAATCTAGCACTAAAAGAGTTTTAGAATTAATTCAAGAATTTGGTCAAGTGGCAGGTTTTAAATTGAACAAGCTAAAAACTAAGGTTATAGAGAAAAATTTAACACCGTTTGAAAGAGATAGGTTTCAGAATGAGACAGGATTGACTGTGGTAAAGAAAGTGAAATACTTGGGGATTAATATGACAGCCAAAAATGGGAACTTATTTAAAGATAATTATGAAAAATGTTGGACAGAAGTGAAAAAAGACTTAGAAATTTGGTCAAATTTGAAACTTTCATTGTTGGGCCGCATTGCTGTGATAAAAATGAATGTATTGCCGAGAATGTTGTTTCTATTTCAGACATTGCAAATTGTGGACAAAATGGATTGTTTCAAGAAGTGGCAGAGAGATATTTCTAGATTTGTCTGGCAGGGCAAGAAGCCCAGAATAAAATTTAAGATATTAACAGATGCAAAGGAAAGGGGTGGATTTGCCCTGCCAGACCTTAAACTTTACTATGAATCAGCAGCTTTTTGCTGGTTGAAAGAATGGCTACTTCTTGAAAACACAGACATTTTGGATTTAGAAGGTTTTAACAATGTATTTGGATGGCACGCATACTTATGGTATGATAAGGTCAAAGCACACAAAGCATTCAAAAATCATATTGTTAGGAAAGCATTGTTTAATGTCTGGATAAGATATAAAGATTTATTGGAAAATAAAACCCCAAGGTGGCTGTCACCAATGGAAGCAAAAGCTCTGAGAAGGCTCAATATGGAGGCCAAATGGCCGACATATTGGGAAATTTTGGAACAAGAAGGAGATAAATTGAGATTGCAGAGTTTCGAAAAACTAAAAAACAAAGTGAGAGATTGGCTTCATTATTATCAGATAATGGAGGCATATAATTTGGATAAGAAAATTGGCTTCCAGGTGGAAAAGTCAAAATTAGAAACAGAACTGCTAGAACCCAAAACTAAGAATCTGTCAAGAATGTATAACTTGCTGTTGAAATGGAATACTCAGGATGAAACGGTGAAATCTGTTATGATTAAATGGGCACAAGATGTTGGACATAATATTATGTTTGCTGACTGGGAACAGTTATGGACCACAGGTATGAAGTTTACAGCATGTAATGCCTTAAGAGAGAATATTATGAAAATGATATACAGGTGGTACATGACCCCAGTCAAGCTTGCAAAAATCTATCATTTGCCCGATAATAAATGTTGGAAATGTAAAGAAACTGAAGGTACATTCTTTCACCTTTGGTGGACGTGCCCAAGGATTAAGGCTTTCTGGGAGATGATTTATAATGAAATAAAAAAGGTATTTAAATATACCTTTCTGAAGAAACCAGAGGCCTTTCTTCTGGGCATTGTCGGCCAATTGGTGCCAAAGAAGGACAGAACTTTTTTTATGTATGCTACAACAGCAGCAAGAATACTCACTGCAAAGTATTGGAAGACACAAGATCTACCCACTCTGGAAGAATGGCAGATGAAGGTGATTGACTACATGGAATTGGCAGAAATGACTGGCAGAATCCGAGACCAGGGAGAAGAGTCGGTGAAAGAAGACTGGAAGAAATTTAAAGACTATTTACAGAAATATTGTAAAATTAAGGAATCTTAGAAGGATGTTGGATAGAAACTAAGTGGTTTCCAGCTGTAATGCTTTAAGAGATACGGGGAAAAAAGGGTCTACAAATGGGTAAAAGCTTAATGGTAAGGATTTGCTGAACTAACAAACTGAACTGGAATACAAAAAAGGGAGGTACGAGGAGGTCCGGGGAAATAAGTGTAAGGAAGATATGCTATGGAAAATTAACGTGTTTTTAACTGTTTTTATTTTGTATGTTTCTTTTTATTTTTCATTTTTTTGTTATATCTTAAAAACTTTATTCTTTTTTCTGTATTTTGTATTTTCTTGCATTTTTATTTTTTGTTTTTGTGTAATTCTTGTACTCTTTGAAACTTTAATAAATATCATTAAAAAAAAAAAAACCATGTAGTACAGTCTACAATGACTTTCCGGGATTTCAGACATGGAAATGCTGGGGCTTGAACTTGAGGTCTTCTGCATGCAATGTAGCTGCTTGACTGCTGAGTGATGCCCCTTCCCCATCATAAAAATCTGATTGTCTGGACTTGGGGAGGCAGTCTGCTACTTCTCCTGAACCTGAGATCATTTCAGGGCTTTAAATGTCAACAGCAACACCTTGATCCCAACTCAGTCGCTGACAAGCAGCCAGGGGTGTAGGAAGGGGGGTGGGGGGCAGTCCGCCCCAGGTTCCATCACGGAGGGGGGTGTCAAAAAGGAACAATTACTGCCCTACTAGGGCGGTTCATTTTTAAAAATATATATATATATATTTAAAATGCCTGCTCCAAAGGTCTTATCTTGCTACACTAGGGATTATATAGCTATATCTGAAATTTCATGCATATCAGTTAATATCTTGACTCTCCTCCACGAAAATAACTGTTTACTTGGCCGTTTTCATATGTCGTGAAGGCTGAAATTTCAATTCAATGGAGCCAAAACACAATCCATCCTGTAGATTTAAGTATCTGTCCACAGTCGCCTCCTTGTTATCCGAGGCCCATAATCCACATTCCTTTGTAAAACTATTTTTGCAGGCAAAAAAAAAAAATATCAATGTGTGTGGTGGGGGTGACAAGAAATTTTCCGCACCGGGTACCACTTGACCTTCCTACGCCTCTGCAAGCAGCCCATAAACAAATTTAAAGCAGCACAGAATGCTTTGCTTGATGAATAAAGAGGAACTTGCCAAATACAGGTCGCTTCTGGATGAGCCTTTTTATTAAGCACATTTGCACCAAGTCCACGGGGAGCTATTTATGTCAACTACTTGCTGAGCTTTCCTTCCAAATTCTTTGTAGAGAGGTTAGACAGGGTCACATTATACCATCATTATCCCACACTTTCCAATGTATTTGCCTGTCTCCTGAATGGCAAAAAAAGAAGTCCAATGTGTTGGAGGAGTAAGTTTGTTACACAGGAGTGCTATACAGTTGTACCTCGGAAGTCGAACAGAATCCGTTCCGGAAGTCCATTCGACTTCCAAAACTTTCAGAAACCAAGGCACAGCATCCAATTGGCTGCAGGAATCTCCTACAGCCAATAGGAAGCCATGGAAGCTGCATTGGACGATTGGCTTCCAAAGAACGTTTGCAAACCGGAACACTCACTTCCGGGTTTGCGGCACTCGGGAGCCAAAACGTTTGACTCGCAAGGCGTTTGGATCCCAAGGTACGACTGTATATCAATTTTAATTGCACAGCCCATAGTTGCCACTATGTGATCAAATAGCACCTGAAAACAGAGACAGTCTAGAAGCAACCTGAGTCATGAAGGCCAAAGGCCAAGTAAAACCAGCAAGGTACAGATGGAAACCACGGTGGCAGGAAACTCTGCAGGCAGCTTTTTCTGTAGCCAGCTCCCATCTTCCTCTCACTGTGTCACTCACGGCACAATAGTAGATGCCAGAGTCACTCAGTGCTACTGCTACCTTGGTTAGGCTGGATGTTCGCGAGGCCGGATCCACATCCATGACGAACTCTCCAATGGAACTTGAGCCTGTGTAGCTGGACCCTAAAGTAGCCACAGCCCCCTGAGCCTCTGGTGCCTCTTTGTACCAAGACATCGTGTTATGAGATGTGATGTTGTGCTGGCAAGAAATCAGGAGTTGCTTTCCTTCCACCAAGGCAAGCTGCGGAGGCTGGAGAACCTGGGAGGAGACCCATCTGTGAGCAACTGCAGAGGGAGGCAGAGAAATGTTGTGAGGGGAGCGAATGCAAATTCATACACCCCAGGAAAAAACTGAGCTGAGTGAAAGTACATTTATATAGTCCCTAGTCCAACACACTAAAAACTGCACCATGCTGGTTCTTTTCCAAAGGTGACACACTTTAGAGTTACTGGGAGGGTGCGTAGAAATGATTTTCAGTAGCTTAGAATTTTGTACCTATCCACCAGGATAAAAAGCACACACAGTCTTAGATTCCTCTCTTTCTCCTCTTCCACACATCTCTGCCTTTCTTATGCTTTACTCTTCTAGCCCTATATCTGTCTGTCTGTCTGTCTGTATAAATATAGTAAAGATCAGCATCATTTTTCCTGTTGTTGTTGTTGTTTAGTCATTTAGTCGTGTCCAATTCTTCGTGACCCCATGGACCACAGCACGCCAGGCAGTCCTGTCTTCCACTGCCTCCCACAGTTTGGTCAAACTCATGCTGGTAGCTTCGAGAACACTATCCAACCATCTCGTCCTCTGTCGTCCCCTTCTCCTTGTGCCCTCCATCTTTCCCAGCATCAGGGTCTTTTCCAGGGAGTCTTCTCTTCTCATGAGGTGGCCAAAGTATTGGAGCGAATGCAAATTCATACACCCCAGAAAAGAACTGAGCTGAGTGAAAGTACATTTATATATCGTAGACGAAGCTGAGCAGTATGCAAAAATAAATAGAAACGTTTTAGAATTAAGAATCGGAGTGGTATAGTGATTGAAGGTCTGAGAGAAGGGTTCAAATCCCCAACTCAGTCATGACGCTCACTGGGCAACTTCAAGCCAGTCACTGCTTCTCAGCCTAACCTTCCTCACAGGGTTGTTGTGGGGGTTTGTAAGGAAGAGGAGGACCATGCATACAACTCCTTGGATAAAAAAGGTGCCGTATAAATGCAACAAAAAACCAAAGAAACATAGAGGTCCTTCTGAATAGAGATAGGGGAGGAATTTGATTCAGTTCACATTTCAAAGGCATTTTCAGAAAGGCATTTAAAGGTGGTTATTGCCTCTTAAACCACCTGTGGGAGAGAGAGGGGGAGAGAGAGATTGGTTCCCCTTGGTTCAAATTCTGATACCATCCAAAGCTGTAAGGAGGCAGAAACTTTGCACACCTTCCTGTCAGATTTAGTGGAGAAGTAATATGGATCCTAGAAAAAGTAGTTCATTGAAGACCTTCTGTAATGTCTTCCCAGACATTGGATAACTTTGGACATTCTGTGCCTAATACCAATTTCTCTCCCTGGATCATAGTTCTCCCTTCTGGATTATTATTATTATTATTATTATTATTATTATTATTATTTTCTTCTTCTTCTTCTTCTTCTTCTTCTTCTTCATCATCATCATCATCCTCATCATCTTTCTGAATGGGCAGAAGTTTACCCACCACCAATTCTGGAAGCGAGTACACTTAACCATCTTTTAGTATTTTGTTTCTGAAGTTTTTTCTTATTTTCAGCTTATTTCATTATTGTATTTGAGCAACAGACAACAGAGAGAGAGAGAGAGAGAGAGAGAGGAATATGAACCTGACAAAAGCACTGCTTATTTTCCCATGACAGCATCAGAGTATCAGGACATCATTGCTGCATGCAATTATATCCCAGTCCAGAGACTCCAAGTCAAGCCAGAAAAAATAATACATCCAAATTTCTCCTGCAAAGTCTCTCAAAGGTTCCTCCACCAGTTTCTCCACAATATTGCATGTGAGGAGACTCAGTCATCGCTGGTCCATCCTGCCAATTGATAATAATTGAGCCTATGATCCAATATCTTCTTGATCTCTGATAACACACAAATTATAGGTTAGTTTATCTATGAGCAACGTTTCCAAAAGCTGGCCTTATCAATCTTCCATTGTCACCTTGTTTTCCTTCAGGATTCTCCTTGTGCCACCTGTACAAGGTGAGAGAAAAGTAGATATGGTCGTTCTTACCTCGGAGGAAAAGTGCAGTGGGAGAAAACGTCATAGTTCAATGCAGAGCTCTACTTCATTTTTTTTTTTTAATTAATATTTATTAAGTTTTCAAAGAATAACAACAAAAATTTCCAAAACAATTTGAAAATACAAAAAACAAAAATGATAAAGAAATAAAAAAGAAAAAAACCCAACCATAAAGAAAAAAAGAAAAACAGAAAAACAAAAGTATAAAATCATTTACGATCTCTGTTAACTTCCTTTCTAGACTTCCTCCTCCTCCCCTCTCTTGTTTCTTAATTTTTAATTTTTACAGCAAATCCTTTCTGTTTTTCATAACAATCTATCATTACATTTCCTTATTCTATTTTCCCTCTTGTCATATAAAAACTTTAAAACTCAAAGCTTATATTCAGTATTTACCAAATTCTTACATCATTACCTTTTTGCAAATCATTTACCAATCATTACTTAAGCCATATAGTTTCATTCAACATCTTTCAAACATTTATGAACGTTCCCAATATTGAAAAATAGAAAAATAAAATAAAATAATAAGTCAGACACAAACCAGTCAACTAACAGCGCCCCTCCCCTGGACCCGGGATTGTCAGTCCTTTTAACCTCAATAGTCCGGCTCCTTAACCTGGTTGTCTCGTGTCCGAGGCCCTCAAATCTCTTTCTTGCCCCTTTCGCAGCTCTTCTTGATGTTTCCCTTTCAGTCGTGGGTACTCCAGCAGAAAGATACTTTTGACCCTTTGCAGCAAGTCCATCCCATGCCCATTGTCCAAGCCAGACAGCAGATAATACCACTTCAAGTTTCCTTGAAACTTGGAGGCTCCGACTACTCCAATCCTCTGATGGCCCATCACCAGACTCGGAAAGTCCAGATAACCATATAAAGGGGGGTCAATCCATCCCCCATTTCCAAATCTAACCACATTTCATCTTTCCGAATCTGATTTATCCCAAGTTCATTTATCAAGTTCAAAGGCTGATCCTGCCGGTCCAAAGGTCCCTCCATCTCTGAAGCCTCCATCACTACAGCAGGTTCATATACTTGTAGATATTTTAACTGAGTTCCATTTACTTGCTGCTGTGCTCTGGTAACTTCCGTCATCAAGGTCGTCTCCTGACGCATCTGGTCCAGCTGGGCACTTAGTTTTGAAAAACCTTCCAGGAACATTTGTTCAAGCCTTTGTACAAGCATTGTCCTTCAAGGTCAAAGAAAATTCTTTCCCACGATTATAGTCCTTCACTTTTAAGCTCTCTGCGTTGCAGTTTCACTAAATCCCACTAGAGGAAAACCTTTTTTTCTTTTTTTTTTTTATAAAGGAGAAAAACATCAGCAACAGTCTTTCTTTTCCAGATACACTTTATCCAAAGTTCCCCCTTCAAAATTCAAGAGGCAACAGTAGAGTCACAATGTTACCCTTCTTTTAACTATCTGTCGAGCTGGACAAGCTTCAAAACGTCAGTTCTGACAGCCCGCTCCTGGTTCAGGGCGGTGGAAAATTACTTTGTTTTAAACTCACTTCCGCAGGGTTAAAAGTCCAAAACAACCCCCTTCTTCTCCTGCAGTCAAAGGGGGGTTCAGAAATCTTAGATGTTGAATTCTAGTTCTCTCAGAATTTAATTTTCAAGCTTTAGTATATTTTGTCTTTGCTTTCTTCACGTAACAAAAGAACGGAAGGCTGACTTCCTGTTTAGACCTTCCCGTTCCAAGTCCCAATTAAATTCAATTTCAAGTCCAATTTATTTATTTATTCACCAGTCTTAAAAGTAATTCAGCTCTTCCAAGATCAGGTACTCACGGATAGATGTTTTAGATGCCAAATTGTCCCAGGAAAAAGGCAGCGCTCTCCGGAAACGGCAGTGCGGCTTTGCTGCACGAAGAAGCAGTCGACTCACAGCACCACGCACCTCCCACTCCGGGCCCGTTACCGGGCTCCTGGCACAGGGAGAGAGCGCTCACGGTGCCCGCTGAGTCCCACGTCCACAGGCTTCGTCCGCCTGTGGGTTTTAAGGGTCCCCGCTGCGCCGTAGCGGTAGGACCCAAGCTTCCGTGCAGCGGGTTCCCTTCAACTTGAAGGGAATTCCGCCATTTTTCCGGAGGCGCCACCCCGGAAGTCCGCAGAGCTCTACTTCAGCAATAAATCTCACAAACGCTTAGCTCCTCTAGGTGGGAGTTGAGAAGAAGGTTCCACATCACAAGGGGTTGGGGTGGTGTATACTGCGGATGAAACTCAGAAAAGATAGAAACCACTTCCTTTCTTAACTTACAAATGCAACCCTGCAATATTTGTTTAGGAAGTTGCTCTTTTTTTTTTTACTTTGGTCTTCCATTAGAGTTAGAAAGCGTTTCATGCCTTCCTCCGGTTCACACACATTGGGTACATGAACACGTTTTCATTTCTGTCTCCCCGCCTTTTTCTTCCTTTCTTCCTATGGATGAGAAATGGAGGCTTTAAAAAATGGGCTCGCCTCTGCCTGCAGAGAGATGTAGGTCATACTCACGTTGTATATTTAAATCACATGGTGTGTCCCCCCCAAAAAAATCCTGGGAACTGGCGTGCTTGTTTTCTCCTGCTCTTGAGAATAGCACTCGAGGCAATGGCTTCGAGTTGCAGGAAAGCAGATTCTGACTCAACATTCAGAAAAACCTTCTGACGGCTGTTCGGCAGTGGAACAGACACCCGTGAGAGGTGGTGGACTCTTCCTTCCCTGGAGGTTGTTAAGAAGAGGTTGGGTGGCCATCTGTCAGAGATGCTTTAGCTGAGATTCCTGCATTGCAGGGGGTTGGACTAGATGACCCTTGGGTGCCTTCCAACTCTAAAGTTCTGTGATTCTATGAAATTGCAGCTCTGTTGGGGGGGGGAGCTACGCTCCCTAGGAATCTTTCAGGGGAGCCATGACTGTTAAGGCAGTATAAATGTGCATTAAATGCAAGGTGTGGGTGGCACCTGAGAATTTGAAGCTGGAAGGTAACTTGGAGGTCATTTAAAGCCAGCGTGGTGTGGTGGTTAAGAGCGGTGGACTCGTAATCTGGTGAACCAGGTTCACTTCCCCGCTCCTCCACATGCAGCTGCTGGGTGACCTTGGGCTAGTCACACTTCTTTGAAGTCTCTCAGCCCCACTCACCTCACAGAGTGTTTGTTGTGGGGGAGGAAGGGAAATGAGAATGTTAGCCGCTTTGAGACTCCTTAAAGGGAGTGAAAGGCGGGATATCAAATCCAAACTCTTCTTCTTCTTCTCCAACCCCTTAGCCCAGCACATCTCAAAGAGAACACGAAGCAGAGAACTTCAATTCCAAGAGTGGTTTAGCGATCCATCCCTTCTCCCAGGGAACTCTGGCAATTGTAGCTCTGAGAAGGGAACGCGGGTATCTTAACGGCTCTCAGCAGCCTTAACAAACTGCAGTTCCCAGGATACTTTGGGGGCTGTTAAAGTAAGGTTGTCAGACGTCCCTGTTTCCCGGGGACAGTCCCTGGATTTACAAATCAGTCCCCACACAAAATCCATTGAAGTTGAAAAGTGTCCCCGGATTCATTGAAAAAAATCTGGTAACCTTCTGCTAAAGTGGCATAACAGCGCTGCAGATTAGGGTCGTTGACATATTTCAAAAAGTGAATTTAAGTTTTTGAGGTATTTTTAAGGAAATTGGCTAAAATCCAGACGTCCAACATCAGTTGCCATACGTCCGGATTTCCCCGGGCATTTCAGAGATTCCCTCCTAAACACTGCTTCCGGCTGCAGTATTTGATCTATGTTTGGGAAATTCCAGACACATGGCAACCCTACAGATGTGTGGGGCAGGTGTGGCCTCCTGCGCTGCTCACACAGGCAAATTTTGTGCAGTGTCTGTGCAAAATGCCACCCCGTTTTTCTTTAATCTGGGCTTGCTGGTAAGTTAAAATGTCCTGCAGAAACAGAGCAGATCCAGATTCAGTGGGGAAGTATTATGGGATGGCATTTTGATGGGGATGCCGTGTGAAGCACATACCTGTCAGCACTCAGTCCGCAACAAACCACATTTTAGCCTTAGAAATAAATTCCTTGGCAGAGGATAAACCTCTGGTGAAATCTGCTGGGCAGATCTCGAGTTTAAAACTCGCTGATATGAAACACGAAGGTCGAAAGAAGGCACATTTTACCACATGAGGTGGACTTGAAAGAAAACGGAAGTATATTAGGAAATGATTTATAATGAATTGAAAAAAATGTTTAGAATTACTTTTGTGTAAAAAAGAACAACCCTGAAGCTTTCCTACTAGGAATGTTAGGTCCATAAATACCTAAGGATCAGAAGAAACTATTTATATATGCTACAACAGCTCCACAGGTGTTACTTGCCCAAAGATGGAAGGAGGACAAACTACCTACAAAAGAAGAATGGTTGATAAAGATGATGGACTATGCCAAAATGGTGAAAACGACCAGGAAAATCAGAGATCAAGAGGACAATAAATTTAATAACGAATGGGGAAATTTTATAAGATACTTGAAATAACACTGTAAACAATTTTTTTAAAAATAACCACTTGCAATGAAGCATGAACTATGGTAAGAACTGAGTTTTAAGAAAATATGGAGAATATGATACAATGCAGTTTGAAAAGAATATCTAGGGAAACCATGGAAGGGTGGAGGGAAGTTCTGGGATTCTAAGAATCCTATTTGTAACATGATTGTGATTTATATATGATGCTAATTGTTAAAAGTGAAAATGATTTTTTTAAAAAAACAAATTAAGATATTAAACTAAGAGGTTTAATATCAGCAAGCAAGAAAAATCCACAATTCATTTCCAGTAACTCTGTTGAATAAGGAATTGTCAAGAACTGTAAGGCGGAAACCAAGATAGTTGCCTTCTATTCTCTCTCTCTCTCTATTGTTTCATGACTGAACATATAAATCTGGTTCTCTTTCCTCCACTGAGGTGATGAGCCCCAAAACTAGAGGGAGTAAAAGGCTACCATCCTTACCTTTGTACCTTATGGTTGTGTCCCTCTGGTGGATGGTTTTAACATAACGGTCTGGCAAACGTTGCAGAAGAAACGATGTGCTGTGGAGATGGAAGGGGTGACTCTTAATGGATGGTATTCCTCTGGTGGAATTCATGTGCGCACTGGCATTTAGATTATAAGGTTACCAGATTTTTTCCAATGAATCCGGGGACACTATAAATAAATAAATAAATAAATAAGTGAGAAAGAGACAATTACAGTGGTACCTCGGGTTAAGTACTTACGTAATTCGTTCCGGAGGTCCGTTCTTAACCTGAAACTGTTCTTAACCTGAAGCACCACTTTAGCTAATGGGGCCTCCTGCTGCTGCCGCGCCGCCGGAGCGCGATTTCTGTTCTCATCCTGAAGCAAAGTTCTTAACCCGAGGTACTATTTCTGGGTTAGCGGAGTCTGTAACCTGAAGCGTATGTAACCTGAAGCGTATGTAACCCGAGGTACCACTGTACTCACAAAGGGCCATGAAAACAGACAAAGTACCTAAAATAAAGTGAACTTGCAATATCAGATTTAACTAGGTTCTTACAAATTCTTGACTCAGCTATTCAGTTTTTCTTGTTTCGCCCCCGGTGGGGCTGATTTGTTGGGGTTGGCGAATAGCACACTCCCTGAGCACAGTTTTCTGGGCTCCTTCAGTTGTCTTGTGCCATTGATACGTCTACTAGTGCTAAATATCTTTGAAGAGACAATTTCTTGGCTTAAGCATGAAAGACTGAATAGCTTAGCCATCTTACCATTTTGGGGCAAGTAACATTCTTGCCACCGTAGTCGCATAGATGAATAAGTTTCTATACAGTTTAGGTAGTTCCCAAGAGAAAAGCTTCTGGGTTTCTGGGGGGGGGGTGTTATAAAAGTTATTTTAAACATCCTTTTCATTTCATTATATATTTAGAAGACACCTAAAGGCAGCCCTGTTTAGGAAAGTTTTTTATGTTTGAAGTTTTATTCTGTTTTTAATGTTCTGTTGAAAGCCGCCCAGAGTGGATGGGGAAACACAGCCAGATGGGCTGGGTAGAAATAAATTATTATTATTATTATTATTATTATTATTATTATTATTATTACAGTGGTACCTCTGGTTACGTACTTAATTCGTTCCGCAGGTCTGTTCTTAACCTGAAACTGTTCTTAACCTGAAGCACCACTTTAGCTAATGGGGCCTCCCGCTGCTGCCGTGCTGCCGCCGCACGATTTCTGTTCTCATCCTGAAGCAAAGTTATTAACCCAAGGTACTATTTCTGGGTAAGCGGAGTCTGTAACCTGAGGCGTATGTAACCCAAGGTACCACTGTATATCCTTACATGTTTTTACCTGGCCAGAATGTGTCCTTGGCTTTCATACTCAGAAAGCAGCTCAAAACAGCCACCAGCACATGAATAAAAAGCAATATAAATAAGAAGGACATGAGAAGAGCCTTGAAGGATCGGGCCCATCTAGTCCAGCATCCTGTTCTCACAGTGGCCAGCCAGAGGCCCTTTGCGTGTTCAGACCCAGAGACCTCCCCCCCTAAATAAACACACATTTGACTCAAATTTTAGTTTTGGTTTTTGGTAGAATTTAGGCCACAACTTTATTGATTACAGAAAGTGAGTGGTTGCATAGGCTCTGGTTTGACCAGCTCCCTGCACCCTTGCAGGTAGCGCTGACCCAGAGCTCTATCATAGGTCACCCAAGGGTGAACACCTGAGGTCAGTGGAAAGCCCAGGAATGGACTATGTCCACTCCCCAGATGCTCCCCTGGACTCAGACATGGGCACAACCCCCTCTTGGGGGTTGACCAAACCAAGTTGAGTCCCTGGATTCCTTTAACAGAATACCCTTCACATAGGGATGGCAAGACCGTTCTCCTATCCCTATCACCTGAACCAGCGCCTATCCGCAACCTTACAAGTTGTGACGATCAGGCGAAACCCAAATGACAACAGCCAATCAGCCAAGTGGGGGAAATTCCTGCCGTGCCCCTGTCCCAATGACAGACGACACACGACGGCATAGCAAGGTCAAACGCAAAATGCCCTAAATATAGGGATAGGCCCTTTATGGGAAGCCCAAAAGGACCTGACTGAGCATAAGAGCACGATCTCCTCTTGAGGTTTCCAGCAAACAGTTAACTAAAGGAAACATCAGTTAACTACAAGAAAAAGGAACCCCCATCCAAAGTTGCTGACTTCTCTCTATGGCTTGCAAAGTCACTGTCTTTAAATTTATTTATTTTTCAAGCACCAACGGAAGGCAAAAATTGCTGCCGCAATCTTGGCATGCAGAACACACACATGGACGCCAGCGATCTCCCCCATGTTGATGTCCCAGCTGTGGGCCCGGCTTGCCCGCTTCCTCTCCCAGTCCTCCTCCTCCTCCTCTCCCCCCCCCCCCCGCATGTAAAAAGAGTCAATGCTTTTATCCGCCACACTCATTCACCTCCCGTGCAGCCACCTCCTGTCCCCCTTTCAGCTCCTCCATGTCAGAATCCTGTGCAACACGGAAAGAAAAGGGGCTTGTGTAGGAGACAATGCCTTGGGGAGGGAGAGTGAGCCGGGGGAAGCGAGGATGGGGTGGCCTTGGTGGTGGGGAATGGGGGACTCCAGCCAAAGCGAGGGGGAGGGGGAGGATGGGAGGGGAGAGAAAGAGGGGTGGCTTCAGCTCACATCTCTTGCCAACTCCAGTTGCATGCGGCGAAGATGGATATGGCCAATTTGTATGGCCCCAGGAAACCAGCGGTTGCTAAAAGGGATGGGTCAGCTCCAGAGCAAGAGGGGGGAAAGGAAAGAGAGAGAAATAAAGGGATGTGGTAATAGCAAACAGAGTAGTATTAGCAGCGAGGGAAGAGGAAGAGTTTAGGCTGCATATACAACATTCATTCAAAGCATATTTATAGTGTATCACCCCCAGGAAAAATCCGGAGACCTCTACAGTCGTACCTTGGTTGTCGAACAGAATCCATTCCAGAAGTCCGTTTGACTTCTGAAAATGTTCGACAACCAAGGTGTGGCTTCCGACTGGCTGCAGGAAGCTGCGGAAGCCGCGTCGGACGTTTGGGTTCCAAAGAACGTTCGCAAACCGGAGCACTCACTTCTGAGTCTGTGGTGCTCGGGAGCCAAACGTTCAAGTCGCGAGGCATTCGTCAACCAAGGTACCACTATACAGTGGTACCTCGGGTTACATACACTTCAGGTTACATACGCTTCAGTTTACAGACTCCGCTAACCCAGAAATAGTGCTTCAGGTTAAGAACTTTGTTTCAGGATGAGAACAGAAATTGTGCTCTGGAGGCGCGGCGGCAGCAGGAGGCCCCATTAGCGAAAGTGGTGCTTCAGGTTAAGAACAGTTTCAGGTTAAGTACAGACCTCCGGAACGAATTAAGTACTTAACCCGAGGTACCACTGTACTGTGTTCCTCAGAGAGCTACAGTTCCCAGGATTCATTTTTTTGTTTGTGTGGGAGGGGTAAGTTTTAAATATATGGCGTGTGCACAGTTGAGTTACTCCTCTCGGGGTCTGAGTTCAGAGGGAGTCAGATCCCACGACCGCGCACAAGGCACATTCGTGGCTTTGTGAAGTTCAGGCTTCCCTGTTCAAATGAAACCCTGGGCACTTCCATACAAGATAAGGACTGTAAAACCAGGTAAATCAGGGCAGTCCGAGTCAGGAAGAATCAAGTTGGTTGCATGAATCTTTCGAGGTGATGTTCAGAGAAGCATAAATGCATGCATTTCCCCTCCACCGAACCTCTTGAGATTGTCCTCAGAGTTGCTATAGATGCAACTGCACAACCTAACCACACACACACACACACACACACACACACACACTGAGTCCAGCCCGTGTCCAGGTAAGCAGCAGTGAGGCTGGTAGCAACAGGGAGGAGGGAATCCCAGCTTTTGACAAACCATGCTATTGAAGCCACAGCACAACCATCCGAGATGAAGCAGGAGGTGACTGAGACAGGGGCTTCTTGGTGGTGGTGCCCTTGGAATTCAGAGACTCTGCTGGCACTCATATATTATTATATTTTTTATGTACAGACCCTCCAAGCTGGATAAATAGCTCTTTGCCACAAGGGCCCACTTGTTAGGATTTTGGTCTATTTGTTGTTTTTGTGTTTTCAACTGTTTTTAGTTATCTTTTGTGTAACCGCCTTGAACAGTTGCTGGATTAGAAGGCAATTAACAAATCAATAATAATACAATATTTTTGTTGACAGGCAATTTTTTAAACATTCTCTTTGATAAGCTGATATGTGTGTCTGGCTGGGAAGAGGAGTTTAAAATGGTTTTTGATGTTGGCCGTTGTCACTGCTATTTATATCAGCCATGATGACTATTATCATTTTCAACCCGACAGATAAACTGTTGCTTTTAATTGTCAGCTGAACTCCTTTTTACTGTTGAAGCATGAGCCATAAATTTTTGCTAATTAATTTCTTCATTCATTAATGTAAGAGTGACTTACCTGTTGAACCTGACGGAACTTATCTCCAAGTAAGATGTGCTCAGAGCTACGTGGTAAGAATGGTAATGGAAGAATTATTATTCAATCAATTAATCCTCTTTTGGGGTTAATAACAATGGCAGTTTGGTTTCGGGGGGTTGTTTTGTTTTTTAATTGGACTGAATTGCTAACATCTCTGGACCCAGAGGTGCAAAGGAGATTAAAAGAAACAATGATAATGAAAAAGCACTGGAAAATTAGAGTTTGCTTTATTTGTCTTCGGAAAGGCAAAGGCTGAGTCTCTGCTTACATTTAATTCTGACCCTCAGGGGTTCAGGTGACTGAACTTACCAACTGATACAATAAGACGAAAGAGGGATAGTGGAAAAGGAAGGGATGAAAAGAAAGAAAGGAGCCTTCTCCACTCTTCCTAATTTTCTTGGCGCTTTCGGAGACACGACAGAGATCCCTTCTCCACCCCCTCTCAAAATCCTCTCCACTCCGCCACACACAGAAATATCGTCTCACAAAGGGGCCCGTTCTCTACCTCCCCCCAGAACCACTGAAGTAAAAGTCTTTGCGCCTTTGTGCTGGGGATTCATTAACATTCCCGTGGCGAGCTTCTCTGAGGATTTTACTTTTGTAGCTCTGGGGGGAGGTCAAAAGGCCA